AGTAAATGTTTGTATTCACTGTATATAAAATCAGTTTCTGGTTAAAAAAAGAGTGTTGAGTATCTCCCATGAAATACTTACCTTAAACTTAAAAATAAGTCAAATATTTGCAGTTTTACAGAGAGATTAAAATCACAGCTCTGTACAAATTCTACAGGCAGTATATATACAATATTCACTATGTGAATAAAAGTGCCCACTGCTACCTATTGATGGTAGTTCATCCCCAGAGGAGCAGGTAATGCATCATGCTATCATACTGTGAACAACTCTGAAAGAATATTTTACAGTATGTAGAGCTCAGCACTTTAGTATTGATCTTTCTTTCATATACACAGTAAAGAAATAAATCTTTCTTTCTAAAATTTTAAAGTCACGATTCCCATAATTTTTGTTGTAGTCGTGTGCTTGTCAGATGCAGAAAACTTGGCATTTCCATAGTCATAAATATCAATAACTTAATATTTCAGTACAGCGGCAAATAGTTCATTCAGAATCATTATTTAAATGTTCATGCCTGACATCTGTATCTTGATATAGTTTATAGAATAGTGTAGAAAGTTAATAGAGAAAACGTTTTCTGAAATTTGACATGTATTTCTCAGGACAACTGTAAAACATGCCAAGTCTGCACTTCTCAGTGTCTTTCTTGTTGTAAAAAAAGTAAGTTTTAACAAATATCTTTACATTATAGACATCACAGAGAGCTCATGAGTAAGCACCCTAAGAAGTCATACATGTGTTTTATGATTTCACAGAATTTAAGCCCTGACTCAAATGTCATTTGCAGCAGTTAAATTTTTTTCCCACTGAAGTCAGTGTAAATCTTTCAGGGAATCGATAACTAAGCGAGTCAATATTAATTATAATTTTATATTGTGGGGTTTTATTTTCATTCAAAACCATAGGTTTGAAGGGATCACAATTGTAAGAAGTGGTGGAACACATGGAAATGTTTCTGTTACCTGGGTTATAATCCGAAATAGCAGTGATCCCTCACCTGTGACTGCAGACCTCGTTCCGGAGACCGGGGAGATCAGTTTTGACCAAGGGCAGATGCTGGTAACGCTTCCCCTGGACATAGTTGATGATGATATTCCCGAAGAGGCAGAGCCCTATCTCCTGAAACTCTTAGCTCATACAATACAGGGAGGTGCAGAAGTCAGTGAGCCGTCTGAGGTAAGAATTTTAGAATTCTTTTGGAGAAAGTAACAACATCTATATGACCATATATACATATATATGACCATATACTAGGCATTTTTAATGCAGTAACATTAATTTTAGACTATTCCCAACATACATAGTGCTACATAAATGCTGTCTTGAGTGCCTGCTTGCTAAGAGAAGGCAGGAAATTTATTTTCACTTGCTCATTTGCTGTCTTAATGATTACTGAAATGTTTTACACAGAGTAACAGCTTCAAGAGGAGGGGTTGGTGATGAAGACTGTAACCTCTGAACTGTTAAATAAAGAGGGGCTAACATTGCTGACAGCTCTGTGATTCAAGTCCCTGCTTTGTCTTTCTCAAAAATGGTCGGAAAGAACATGGTGAATAAAATCAAATTTTTCGCAATCTGAAACGTTTTTAAATTATTCACTTTGGCCGCTGAACCAAAAGATCAGTTTTTCTGAGCTCATCCTGGCACATGGATGATGCGCAGTGGGAAAGCTGCCACCGTCAGTGTTATGCTGCTTGTGTACAAAGAATACTTTGGGGCTGTCAATCTGATTTCTTTCTTGAGTGCCAGTTCACTAAGGAGAAAAATGAACAGTGACAGTCAGGACGTGCTTTCGTGAAAGCACAAAAACCGTGGTGTATAGCGACTGCAGCAGAGAGTAAGCGGTGCTGTTTTCTGTTTTGCAGCTTCTGTTCTACGTTCAGGACAGTGATGATGTCTATGGCCTGATAAAATTTTCTCCTTTGGAGAATCAGAAGATTGAAAGCAACCCAACGGGACGCTTTTTATCCTTGAGTTTTGCAAGGGAGAGAGGAGCAGTTGGAGACGTGCAGTTGGTTTATACAGCGCTGTATATTCCAGCTGGAGCTCTGGATCCTGCGAGAGCGAAAGATGGCATTCTGAATATGTCTAGGAGAAACGTCCTCATGTTTCCAGAAGGAAAAACACAAGATACTTTAAATATACCAATAAGAAATGATGCGTTTCTTCAAAATGGTGCTCATTTCCTTGTACAGGTATTGCAGTTGTGTTTTGGGGTGGTTTTTCAGCCCATGTAATATTAAGGATATAATTTACTAGCGGTTCCTTCCCTTTTAATTTAATTAAAATGATCCTACCTTAAAAAAATAAAGTTATTATCTCTGTAGCTAAAAAACCTTTTATTTAGAGACGGCTTCCATAAATGTTCCCTAAAGAGCATTATTCCTAATAATTATTTACTAATTACACCATTTTTTAAAAATAGAGTGTTGTAACAGAATTCAGGTGTTAATCATGGAGTTTAATAATACGAGATCAATGTTGCAGAAGTTAATTGCTTTTTGAGGTATGTTTTTCTGTCTGCCCCTTGGCTTTCAATTTAACCAAATTAGAGTTCTTAAAATTAAATTATGGAAGCATGAAAACTTCTAGAAATTACAAGCAAGTAAACACAAATTTAAAGTGGTCAAACATATATTTCATGTATGCGTAAATTTAGCTGGAGACCTTGAGAAGTATTTTTTCCAGTTTTCCCCGTATATGCCATTTTTGGGGTTTTTCCTCTCTGTTTTGAATTTGTAAGAAGGACACTTCTGTCATTGCTTATTAAAATGGGCTGGAAAACTTCACTAAAAGTGTGTTTTTGACAGAAAACATGATTTTCAGCAAAACACATTTAAAGAAAGATTTTCCACTTTCATTTTTCACTGGAGAAAACCAATTTTGCTTACATTTTAGCAAGTTGTTGTTCAGATGTTCTGCTGTGGAAGATCCTGGGCATGGTAACCTGAAATTGTTACAATTATTTTCTCATCTGCCATAAAGACTACCCTGTAATTTCTCCTTCCTATGATCAACTGTTGCCACTCTGCTCACCTGGGATGATGAGCCCAGGTAGAGATCGTGATACGCAGATGAAGGGATGACTTGGCCCATCCAGTGCACAAATCACAGAGGCATTTCTTATTTCCTTTCAATCTTTTCATTTTAAGTCAGAGGTTTTTAGAGTTTCAAATGAAGAAAGTGATGTTAAATCCATAGATTTAAAACTTGCCAGGTTTTGTCTTTAACTGGCACGCTACTGAAGATGTTTTAATTACTTCTGGGACCTTGAAAATATTTCTTCCCTCCACCTCCTCCTCCACACATTCTCATAAAAAAAAGGGGAAAAAAAGTCCTTACAAAAATAATACTATTTTTTATGAGTATGCAGTTTTTGACATTCACAGTTAAATAGGGAATTGTGTTCTGGAGTGCTCGAATAGGTCAGTATGTTTAACATCTGCACGAGGTCTGAAAGATCTATAGAAGAATTGAAATCTCTAATTCCAAGCCCCTTTAAAATGCTACTTTGTACGTATCATTGCGGTGTGGACTATGGACAGGACACACATATGATAAGTTTTTCAGAATGCAGGCACTTTGCCCAGCTTTTCAAACTGCAAATTCCAGGGAGGCAGGGGGGGATGAATGTTCTGTGCTTTCTCCATGAACCATAAAAAATCTTTTTGTTTGAATAAACAAAATCGGAGGGGCTTTGCAGCACAGAAAATTCATTTAGAAACTCATAGAAAAGGAAGAAAAATACCCCTATTTATCACTATGACAATCCTTCTACATTGTGAATGAGCAATAATCTCAGTGAACATGTTTAGAATTAGAAGATTACAGAGTTTGTACTGGGTGCAATAAAGGATCCACTCAGGAATCAGGAGAGGAGGAGTGGAGGAGGAAATGAAGCTTAAACACAAACAGGGAATGGACGGAGGAACTGGAAAAGTGAGATTAACATTCTTCAGTGACATCTTCACTTAAATAACCTCTGCTGTAGTCTGAGGAGCAGTTTTTGTTATGGACAAGAAGGTTAACTAATTCAATAAACTACTCGTCATTATCATTCAATTCACAATACATTCATTTTTCCTCATGAACTGATTTGTTTGAAGAGAAAACACTGAAAGGAAAAAAAAAGAGTCTTGGTTCTTCATTAATTATTACTTTTATCTCAAAGTGATTATCCAGGATCAGAAGCACTTAACAAAGTGAATTGTTTCTGCTGTGCAGTATTTCAGAAACTTTACTGAGCTAACAACCACACAGTGGTCCACCTGCATGCTGTTAATTGCAGGATCAGGGCCCAATCCAAAAGAAAGCTTAGAAAACAAATGAAACACACAGTCCCACCATCTGTTCCTCAGGCTCTCAATAACTGGCTAGTGTGGTTAAGAATCAATTACCGAGTACAGTATTTGTAAAACAGTTCCATCTGTCATTTTTTTTTTTAAAAAGTCATTAATTTTTTTGTGTGTTACTCAAGCAGTGGTGGAACAAAGTATGATACAGCCCAAGCATTTTATATAGATTGTTTTTAAGAATTGAAGGATTTAAAAAATCATCAGGTGAAGTGGTGATTCATAATCACTATATGGATTTGAATAAAGCCACTTGCCCCTCCTCCAGTAAAACCTTACTGTATGGTGGCATCTGATCAAGCGGAAAACATCCTTCTGGGAGTTAAAAGGTGGTTGTCATTGGGGATTCATGCACCACTGAAATGTTTGCAGAGGTATATACAGATCAGCTATGGAAACATTTATTATAATGCTGGATGGAGACAGAATCGCATGATATAAATTGTATTTGAAAGAAATATTTAATCAGGCAAGTGCTGCTCTCCTTACTGTGTCAGTACTGCTGCTGGGTTTAGTGTGTGATACGTCCCATTCAAAGAAAGGGTAAACTTTTTTCTTAGTATCAATAACCCATCAGAAATACGGAAACACAAGAGGAGTTTTGATTCCGAATGTGATTCTAATGTATTAGTTATAAATAAACAAGTCCTTAAAGTTTTATGATAAAGGAAAGAAGGTTGGGTCATTCTTTGGCTTCATCAGAGGCTGTACATTATTATGGTCCAGTGACTTCAGTAGATTTCTATCAATTTATGTCACCCAAGATGTAGTTAGGACAATAGCCTGGGCCACTTGTCAAACCAGTGCTGTTATTCATAGCTTTAGTAATGAATCAGCCAATCTAGAAGGTTCATTCTGCTTCTGCATAAATTTAGTGGTGTACACAGACATGATTTGTCTGAGAGGTCCATCATTCTGCTGACAAAGTGCAACTTTGGTGTCCACTGCATTTCTTTGGCACGTCCACTCGTGCATTTTTCCAACAGCAGTGTTGGAGAAGTTTGTTCTGGACATGTTTTGCTCGCTGCACATGAAACTTACTCTGAAATGTCAGGGTTGTTTTGACTTAGTACTGAGGCTTCCTATTTCTCTTTTGTTTTTCTTACCTTCTCCTACAGCTGGAAAAAGTTGAACTGGTGAATAGGATTCCTCTAATTCCACCTGTGAGTCCTAGATTAGGTGAGATCCGAAATATTTCTCTGAGGATTACTCCAGAGATTGCAAATGGAGAAATAGGCTTTACTAGCAGTCTTCCAATTATTCTTTCTGAGCCAGAAGATTCCCCTGCTACAGTGGTAAGTAAACCTTTTTTATATGGTCCCTTACTATGGAAATTTATTTAGAGAAAGCAAAGTTTGCTATGTTTAGTGTAGACTTTGAAAGTTAATGTGAGGAAAATCCTTCTTCTAAGCTCTGCCTGATCCCAAATATTCCCTTGCTTTGCTTTTTTTTCTTAAAAAAAAAAAAAAAGTCAAAAAAGTGCTTGTAAAACTGTGGTCTGAAATAATGTGTTACTCATTATCAGAAAAAGTGAGGTTGATCTTTGCTTTCCCTGTAACCACCCAAAACCAGTCAGGTCTTGATGTTCGCACAGAACAAAAGATGCAGGCAGTTTTGGTCTCTCTCGCCAACTGCAAAGCTGATGATGTGAAGTAGGATCGATACCAGCCCCAGATTTCATAGAAATATCTGTGTATCCTACAGTTGACTGACGTTATATGTGAACACATTTTTTGGGCTCACTGGGCGTGTTTTCCAACAATTCTGCATTTTTAGGTTTCTGAGAACCCAAAGAAGAGTTTTCAAAGCATTGCCATCCATCTGAGGGCCTTAGTCCCCGCTGGAGAAACCTTTTTTAAATGTTGTTTTCATACATTTTAATTGTTTCCCAAGTTGTCTTCACTGAACCCTTCCCACAAATCCCGAATCAGATAACTTGTTTCTCATTCTCAGATTAAAACTGCAGATTTCCTTAAGCACAGTACCAGTTGCACTGTAGTATAATGACCAGAATAAAATTATGGTAGTTATATTTAAAACCTTAGTTGTGTCTTGAAGAGGTGAGCACTGATTATATCAGTCATACAAGGTGTTGTGTGTTTATGGTCGCTTAGGGATCTATCAAATTAATAATCTATTATCTCTGCTGCCTAAGTATGTAACTAAAAGATGGTTAAAAAGAATAAGGTTCAATATATATTTTCATTGATGGACCATCCTTTGATTTTGTATCATATGCATAGGTATGAGTGAAAACACCAAGCTGAACATTTTGAGACTTGTATTCAAGTATTAATTTACAAGGAGTTAATTGTTTTTGCATCAAGTTTTACAAGTCACAGCAGATTCCTGTGTTTCATAGGTTTCCATTGCACTGCATCGAGATGGGACTGATGGTCAAGCAACTGTGTTTTGGAGTTTGAAACCCTCAGGTCTTGATCAAAAGGCAGTAACTCATGATGATATAAGTCCCTTTAATGGCTCTGTTGTTTTCTTATCTGGACAAAGTGATACTGCAATCAACATTACTGTTAAAGCTGATGATGTACCTGAAATGAATGAAACTGTGTTACTAACCTTGGACAGGTACTGTACCCTAATCTCTATTCCTATGTGTCAGTTGTAATACTCAGTGTATGTGTAACAAATTAGCACAGTACTAATTAAGAAATACTACCTGTATTGTTTTGATAAGTGCCTGAAGGAGTATTAGGCCCTTGATTCAGACTGTGACTGCAGATCAATGTAAGAAACTGTGATGTATTTATTATCTAATGCCTCAATCTTGTTTATATTTTGACAAAAATAATGTATACTATTTAGAAAGTTCTTTCAGCTTTGATCTTTAGTTATAGCACTTAGTTATACATATTTTCAGAAGAGTAATATTTAGTGATATAATTGGAAGAACTGTAATGAAGAGTAGAAAGCAATACATTTCTGTCAGGAAAAGGTTTGCAGCTAGGGTGTTGTTTAAGAATTAGATCAACCGTTTAATTGTTTGATCTGTGCATTCAGTATTACTTGCTCTTGATAATTAGATACTTCCATCACTACCGCTGCCTTCCAAAACAGCCCGGTGTGACCATTACCATGGTCTTTGACTGCAGAGAGAGAAATGATAGTTTTGAGGCTCAGTGTTGCAGTCTCCCTTCAGCACATGATCAAGATTACAGGGTAATTAAGGCTGTAAGGAACCTCAGGAGATGCTATTATCCACATGTGAGCTCTACTCAGGATACTTACCTTAGTTCATATTCAGGAGTATATTCACTCTTTGATTTCCTAACTGGAGAATCTTGTCTATGTCTTCTGTCGTGCTTCCAGCAACTCAATGGTATATATAATTTAGAAATACAACCACTTCTGCTATCTCCTGTTAGTCCAAGGTACGTTTTTCCACTTTTTCTGGATACATACTAACAGGGGTCTGCCAGAAGCAATGTTCACATTGAACATTGCCACATACACAGTCCTTACCTGACACAGAAGTATTTTTGTCCAGTATAGGAAGTACAAACTAGCTCTTGTGAGCTTCAACACCACATACCCACAGTAATTACATACTAGCAAACTGGCAACCAGCTCCTCAAGCTGTTGCTGATCCTGTTTCAGAAAGTCTGTTTTTTGAACATTATTCTTTCACAAAGAACAAATGTTATTCCTCTCCAGGATTGGCCTGCGTCTGTAAAAGCTGGCTGGTGGAGATGCATCTAGTGCAGAATGAGTTCTTCCATTCCAACTTGGCTACTCGCCGCATTGAAAAGGCAGTCTTGTTCGAGACAAAAACAAGTGTAGACTATTGCAAGCAGTTCTGTGTTTTCCTGGTTCATCTCAAGGAATTCATTAGAGTCTTTGACATAAAGGAAAAAACTAACATGAGAAATGAAGATGGAAGTAGTGAAGAAGATGTGTAAGGTGGCTAAAAATGGGAAAGGAAGGGTAGGAAACAAATAAGTAGATAGAGGAAGTAGATAGTGTGAAAGGTTAACTTTTAGAGGTTTGAGAGCTCTGCAAGGGAGTGTAACTACAGCTTTCTGCCACTTACTCCAAGTAGTAACCCTAGGCTGTGGCTTGAAAATGATGCCTGAAGTGAGGGTTGAGTTGGCAGCTGAACAAACGTGACCACTCTTCCACTTCTACTACAAGCAGCAGGCTCCACTGGCCATGAAGCGGCTGGTAAAACGTGTGCCAGCGGTGAGCAGCTCTGCACGCTTGGCAAGGGCAGAGAATGAAGTCAGGAACAGGTGGTCTGGCCTGGAAAAAGAAGTAAACAAGGAAGAGATAAAATCAGAACTTTTCTCTAGACCTGGCGAGTGCTCCCCAAGGCTGCGAGGGAAATTTGGCAACTTCAGTGTTAGCAGAAGCCAAGAATGACATGACTGCGAAGATCATCCTTTCAGAGCTGGAGATGACTCTTCAGATCTGGGTGGAAGGATGCTGGCAGGGCTATGTGTGTAAGATTGTGGTATGGCCTTCTGCATCGTTTGTGTTTTCGGGATGAACAGAAGATTGCCGTTTCCAAGGCTGGCAGCCAGCACCTCGCAGCAGTGGTGAATTAGCCCGAAAACAAAGATGCACTGTGCTGTGGATGTGCCCGTACTGTTCTATAAATTGTGGCATAAGTCAATAGGAAAACAGAGCATGTAAGAACCTTAATGAAACTATAGATGGAGAGATATGTTCATAAGCTTTCTATTTGTTGCAATTAGTAATAGCATGGATAAAATAACAAAAATAATTAGTTCTAACATGGATGTATTATTTACAACTCAGTGGTGTTGTTAAGGCAGTTTACATTTTAAATGAGCTTTAATTGCATCCATAACTATAAAAGGAACATTCCAAGCCATTGAAAGAAGTATTTGTTTTCCTTGGTCTATTACCTCTGTCCATGGGCTGTAGATATTAAAAATAACTCTGAATTATGTCCATAACATGGAGACCAATGTATATAATGAAGAATATGCATCCAAAGATGAGAGATGAGTATTAAAGAAGCAAGACAAGCCCCTGCCTGCTGAAGCTTCTTCATAATTTCTTTCTTTAGGAGCTGCTTCAGGTTGAATGCCTGCTCATATCCGAATAGGCCTGAATTGAGACCAAGCATAAGTAGACCCAAATGTCTGTAGTGAAATCAATATCAGAAAGAAAAGGTCTTGATCTTCTAGATGAGTGCCAGTAGAACTGGCCACGGGAATTGTGTATATTCTTTGTGAAAGTGTATATACTTACTAGGGCTGTTCATTTTACCTGGTAAGAACAAACAGAAATCAGGTTTTTAAAAAAGTCTGATTGTTTTTACCATCTGGACATGTTCTCCTCCTGCAGTCGCCATCCCCTTGGTGAGGTGCAGATGCACAGCAGTCAATTTGGCAGCTGGCACAAGCAGAGGGCCCAGACATCCAGGGCATGAGGGCCGTGTTTGTGTCTTAAATGAGTGGTGGTGAGAATGAGAACTTGCAAACTTCGGGTTCTGCGAACAGCAATGTACCGATAAATGGATTTTAATTTGTGAAAGTGATAATCTATGAGCAGATGACTGTTTAAATAGTCCTTATGCTCAGATTTTTTGAGTCATGACTCATTTAATTTAGGGTGCCAGAACAGATTCACGTACTTATGTTACGACCTCAGTCTCATTTACTACATGTAATAAAGCAAAACTGAAGCAATGTAACGTGGAGATTTTTGTAGTTCTAGTGATATTTGTGTTGAGATGCAAATTTCCACAAGCAGAAATTCTGTCTTGAGTTGATTTAGAAAACAGCTCTTTAAAAATTTGCAAATGCAAAATGTAGGTTTGACTATTTCATTATGAAATGTCTGGTAGTTTTTTAACACTTTTGTGTTTAAGAGATTACTTCGTGTCAGAAAGTTAACCCATAGAAGGCCCACTGAAAGCACTGCCTATGGTCCTTAATTTTTATAAGTTGTGGGTTCTGGTATGCACAAAAACACTAATATACTGTTTAATGCAGCTGGGGTTTTCTTCTGACCTGGTGATTTCCTGTGTCTAGTGTCTGTTTCAAAACCACGTCTATCTGTCTTACTTAAGCAATCTTTCTGTTAAATAGTATGTGTGATGCTGTAGGAATTACCTCTTTCAGTGTAAATCATTGGCCTTTTCTTCAAGGGTTTTGATCAGACTTTGCTTTGATGGGGACAAAGTTACTTGAAAATAGTAGTGGAATGTTGAAAAGAATGCTACTGGACACCTACTGCTCGCTTTTATTAATTTTTAAAATAATAAATCCATATATTTTCTGCTATGAGTAACAAAAATTAAAATAGCCTCCAAAATCAAATAATTTGTGGATTAAACCTGGAGTGAAGGTGTTTCCTCTGATGAGAAGCACTGTGGAATTTATAATGTGGTAAATGCTATTTTAATGCTGTTCTTCAAAGCTGGGTCCTGCCACTGATTAAGTCGGCAGATAATCCTGAAAAGAAGTTGAAGGGGTGAACACTGACAACAAATCTAGGAAGCAAATTGAGGAGCATTCCACAGACAACCTGAATTTTATAATAACATTTTATTTTATTTTATTTGCAGTGATATTTAGTTCATAATAACATTGAAGTTACTGTGTTGGTTTAAACTCAGTCAAAAAATCTTTCTGTTATTTTGTAGCACTATGTGTTTTAAAAAGTGCAGAAACATTTTGAAGCTTCTGTTATTTTTCCTAATAAGTCTGTAGTTCTTGCTAGGTAATAATTAAGGTTTATTTTAAAGAAAGAATTTCCCTAATGTTGGGTTAACTCACATGAGTTTTGTGATGTGGGAAATGGTTTTTTTGGAGTGTTTCATCACAGAAAACACAATTACACAGTTTGAGATTGCGTTTCTTAGGTTAGCGGCATAAACATTCTAATCTGTGATTATGTCTAATCATGTCTATAGACAGTTAAGGTGAGGAAACAAAATGGCAATTGGCTTTCCCAGTGTGAGAAATCTCCATACTCCTTGACAAGCACTCTCTGCAGTAGCTGGAGGTCCTCGGTATGGCTAAATGCACGAGGAACTGTTTAACTTTTATCATTTCTTCTGAATATTCTTTCCCAGGCAAACTAAGCCATGAGTTTTAGAAGGTCTGAATAGCTGCTTTTGTTCTGTTTCCACACTGTGGAAGTGCCTAAAGAGATGGTTTCACATACCATGAAGAGTGAAACAGGACTAAACTGATCCTGTTGTGGTTCGGATGTCTTTACTCTGTGACAAAAGGACATGGACAGCGTGTTGTTCTTGAATGTTGTCAGAACATGCAGCCAGAGCTGATGGCTTGAGGCCTGGGGCTCTGTGGTATTGTAGAGCCAGAAGTCCAGCCTGGTAATGAGACTGGTTGGGCAGGGGTCCATCCCACAGCCCCCAGTGAGGGGGAACAGCAGCCTGGAGCAGGTAGCTGTGAGCAACCTAGAGTCCAGGGCGTCAGGCAAGGGCATGGCCATGAGGCAGGTCAAGCCAAGAACACGACTCAGGTTTGGGCTGGATAACAGTCACGGGGGTGAGCACAGCCCAGCGATTGCCAGGCAGATCCACAGCGAGGACACAGGTCCAAGGTCAAGCCAGGAAGTCAGATGAAGTGCCCTGGGCTGTTATGGGAATTTATATGTGTGTACCTTGGAGCGCAGACACGAGGGGTCCTGTGTGTGCACTGTTTGTTGCTCATGTAGCAGCAGCTCAGAGTTGGAAGCCTAAACCTGGACGCTTCTATCCCATTTTTGGACAGACTATTTTATTCATTTTTAGAATAGCAGCCAGCATTTACTATGTCAGCAGTGAACAGCAATCTGGCCACTCATACAGAGAAAACAGGGTCAGAACAACCAATAAATAAATGAATAAGCAATCCTACTGCTGAATATGAGACTTGGGAGGAGAAACCTCCAGAAGAATGGTTTCTTTAGCAGTGGATGAGTTGAATCTGACTGAATCTGACTGATTGAACCTGTGAGTTCTCTAGGTTCCAGTCTGACTTATGTCGTGACTGTTTAATAAAGTATTGCCAGTCTTCTCAGTCCTTTGAAAGAACACCTGGAGATGATGCTCAGGCTGCACACCACATGGTACCTCATAGTACCATCTGACTCTTTCATTTCTGCTACCCTCAGCATTTCTGTAGTGCTGCCATTGCACATTACAGCATAATATTGGATTCCAGCACTACTCCTCACTTCATCTTAACAGGCATTTTTGTCTGAGATGTGTCTGGGCTCATGCGGTGTAACTTCATGAAGATGAAAGAGATTTTACTTCTGACATAACCTTTCACTTTCTGATGAATTACTATGGTGTAACTACTTAATCTTATACATACACATTAAGGACTCAGTTGACATAATGCTTCATTTATATTCTCTGTTGTGAATTATATTACCAACTGCTTAGTGATATAATTAAATTTTAGCATTAGCAACCCTGGAATTTTCTCCTTGATCTTTTCAATTGTATTAATACTAAGATGGTTTTGGAAGACTTCTGCATATGTTTCTGAAGGAAGGCAGAATGTCTCAATATATAGTATATAAAATCCACCCTCATGGGAAATCAGTGAGAAATTTCTATTAACGCAGATCTCTTAGTTGAAAGAATGTATCTGCAAGCGTATTTGCTTTCTTTTCTCAAACTTTTGAGTCTGCTCTTTATTGAATTATGGAACTGAGTTCTTTGTGAGATTAGTGAAGTCAGAATTTCACTTTGTAATAGCTGTGGTAATCCATTTATGGTATTCCGATAGAAGAGACAGGTTTTTTATTAAAATATATTTATTTTAGATTAAGAAAGTCAACATGCATGATTGTCATTACAGAATAATACTGCCCTTTCATCTGGACTGATGTGGTAGTCATTATAAGTGCTTGGCTTGAACGGAACGAATTAAGAGATTAGAGAATACTCTTATTTTCTTATTTTTGTATTTTTTCTTTGTTGTATTTTTATATTGGTATTTTACTTAGGTTATCTGATTAACTGAAAAATTGTCAAAACTAAAACTTGATGTGATTTTGCGCAAAAACCAGTTTTTGATATGTACTTGTTATAACTCTCACTATGCTTATCTGGTTTTATTATTGCTTTGGCAGATTGAAGAAATAGCATATCATAGAGGCATGTAGATTTACTTTTTTTTAAATGAAGGGCTATTTATAAATGTGGGCTGCTGGTGCAGTTGTGAGCAGGCACAGAGGTTGGCAGTAATCGAGCTCTTAGAGCAGGGCCTGGTAGGGTACACCACAATTGGGTCTTGAGATGCTGAATTGGTCATGGGGTCATTTCCTATGTGGGAAATGCCCCCTTGTTAGCATTTGTCAACAGAAAAATGCCAGGCAAGTCGGGTTCCCATAAAATGAACATTATAAGCTTTTGAGAAGGAAAAAAGACCTTGGTGGTGGTGGTCGTAGTGGTGTTATATTGCTGTTGTTATTATTATTGTTGTTGTTGTTATTATTATTACTACTACTATGATGATGACAACAACAACAACAACAACTACTACTACTGCTACTACTATTGTTGTTGTTGTTGTTTTTGTTGTTGTTATTGTTTTTGTTGCTGTTATTGTTGTTGTTGTTGTTATTGTTGTTGTTGTTGTTGTTGTTGTTATAGATTAGTACTATTGAAATTCTAGCAAGTGGCACTTCCATTCCTTCCCCCATGCCCTTTCTTTCTTTCTTTCTCTGCTGACAGGGTAGAGACAGAAAGGTTTGTCGTGTACTTTGGGTAAGTACAGTGAAATGTGGTTTTTCTTCAGTGAATCAATTCTTTGTTTTACGGGTGGTTGTTTGGACAGGATCTATCTTTGTCATTTCTTTTCCTCTTAGGAATCACATCTTCTGCACCTCTTGCAGCAATGCATGCGTGCACTTTGGTGTTTCCTTTGATGGCATGAGGTTCTGGCTTGAAGGCGTTTCTTTAGGATCTCTGAATGATGCAAGTTATTAATCCATAGCTCAGTGTTTGATGTTTAAGCATTTGATGCAATAATGGATCATTTGTTATAAACTGCCACAAGTAAAATTTGCCCTAGCTAAATGATGAACTGACTAGGATTATAAAGAAGTTTTCTGTGGTCAGAGAGGAATGTTGGTCTTGTTTTTGAATACACAGTTTATGCTAACACAAGTTACTGTGTCTGCTGATACATTTTTTAATGTGCAATAAACATAATATGTTACTCTATCAAATAGGTATTTCCTGTTCTACATCTTGTGTCCTGCCTGTAGACTTTGCTAGAAAATGCATAGATGGCTATTTATTATTTTATGTGTGGGTGTTCCAGTTATTTATAGAGTGTTTTTTGAAACAGCTCTGGAACTGGTTTCAAATACTGGATATAATAGATCACATTTATTTCTACGTGAAATAGTGCTTGATGAAGTCTGGGTTGTAGTACTGTGAAACCATAAAAATATTTACAAGATTTAATTGAAGTTTTTTCCCAGGAAACATGGAAGGTTCATAGGAATCTAAATCTATAAAACACCACGTAATAAGCCATCTCCAAATGATCAGTCTGAAGGTGCATTCTTGATGCATCAGTAATAGTTTTTTATCACATTTTTAATGTCATGAACTTGTAAGAGTGTCATTGAAAATTACCTCATCTGGGGAATTGAATGCAAGAATTGTGCAAGGTTTCCTTCTCTCATCAGATATGTCCCATCTGCATCACTAAGACAGAGCAGGAGTAGCCCAGGGAGACAAATCCTCCACCCAGAGCAGCACTGTTTGATCTCACCTGCACCGTTCACCGTTTGCTTTTAGGCAGCAGGTTTGGGAGTAAGGGAGGAGAATGGGAATGCGTCTGAGCTACTCAGAGGAGATCCAAGACTTAGTAAAGTCAGGCTAGGGTTGGACAGGAAGTGTCCACATCTTTAAAAGGCAGGTTAATGCACAGGTGGGGATGAAATGCATGATATTGAGGGGCAAATCTCCTCATACTTGTAAACTTCGGAGAAGAGGTTATGAATGCGTGGTTGTCGAGGTATTCTCTATTTCTTTAAGTGATTTTGGATTATCCTTTACGTTTTGATCCAAATACAAAGTGACACTAAATCTAATTCTGACTCTTTACTTGCACAATTCTATTTCTTTTCCTCGGTTGTGTGCATGTGTGACTAAAAAAAACCCAGAATCACCAACCGGCGATTTTTAGTGCCACACTTTCTAAGTAGGCTTCTTTTGAACAGGTTTTTTTTAACCTCTCTAAATGCACGTACTCAGTGTGCTGTGTCTGTTGCTTTCTGTTACCTTTTTCTTTGCACTATCACAAATAAGTTGTTTAGCTTAACATTTTTCTGGACTTTTAAAAACTTGCTGTCTATCTCTGGTTGTTGTTAGAAGTCGTTGTTTTACTGGCAGTGTTTCTGATTTAACATCTGATTCGATTTTTTGGAAGACATCGCAATATCCAAGAGCCAGATTTGGCCATACTGAGAAGAACAAACAAAGAAAAAAACAAACCTAATCAGAGAACAAAGTTACTTCAGAAGCAAAGGGTTTTTAACAAATGGGTAAAACATACTGCTGTGTCTTTCCTAATGTATTTTATTCCTTGCAGGTAACGGTTTGTTTTCATAATTTATTCATAAAATTCTTCAGTATTCTGATGTCCCTCACACGGGTGTGGATTTACACATCAGACAGAATTGTCACTCAAAAAAACCTCTTGCCTTCCTTTCTCAGGGTCAGTGTGGAAAATCAAATACTGAAATACGGGTTTACTACTCGTGAGATTATTATTTTGGAAAATGATGATCCTGGAGGGGTGTTTGAATTTTCTCCCTCTTCCAGAGGCCCCTACAGTATCAAGGTAGCTACCTCAGCAAATTCTCTTAATCATTATGGACAACTTATTTAAAGCAGAGTGCGAGAAGAAAGCTTAATTTTTGTTTTTACAGGAAGGGGAGTCTGTTGAGCTGCAGATTGCTCGCAGCAGAGGAAGTCTTCTCAGGCAGTTTCTACGCTACACTGTAGAGCCGAGGGACAATAATGAGTTTTATGGAAGCACGGGGATTCTAGAGTTTAAGACTGGTGAAAGAGAGATCATAATTACTCTTCTGACAAGGATGGATGGCATTCCAGAGGTAAAAATTTAATATTTTTCTTTCTTCATATTGTGTTCACAAGCATATTAGTTTGTAATTTACTAAAATATAGGCAGAGGTATATGAACAGAACTAGTGTGTAATGGCTGTTCTTCAGAATGTCTTCCCAAACCAGGGATGCCTGGAATAACAGGTGATGTCTTGAGGTTTAATAATCCTCAGTGGGTTTTTCCTGTGAGTTGAAACTCTCACACTTTGAATTCATGTGAGTTTTTAACAACCATTGCATTCTGCAGTACAGAGTGCTGTTTAATTGAACTCTGTGTGAAGAACCACTTCCTTTTAGTTTAGTTATGGTGGCTTTTTTTCTGGTAATGATCTGTTTGCTTCACCCAGTGCTCCCCATTCTAGACTGATATTAGCCTTATAGATATATAGATAAAACACTTGGTTTAATGTTTCTTGAAGCACTAACTGGGAGCTTTTTTCAATAAATATATGAAGTACAGAGTCCTGTTAGATTAATAAAGCAAGCAGATAATAAAGCTGTTCTTTCGTAATTAGTGTGCTGTCAGTGGTTTTGAAGTCTTTGCTTTCCCTGTTAAAAAGCCAGGAAAGTCAATTAATCTTATGGAAAAGAAAACTTACCTTTCAGGGAGCATTACAGATGTATTTGTGCTAGTGAATTGATGTGATTTTAAGTTCACAAACTAAATCATTGCCTATAATAATAATAGAATTTTGGATAAAATGGTCCTATCAGACATAGAAATTTCTAATTATTTCTTTGTTCTGATGGCAATATACAAACACACTCTACATGTTGAAAGTGTGTGTGATTTGTTTAAATGTGCATCTCTTTCTGCTTGGCTGAGGACTGTGTATGTTTCCCCACTCATTTTGGATGTGAATACTGAATATGTGTTTTTATTCTGACTGAGTTTCCCTCTTCTAGCTGGATGAGGTGTACTCTGTGGTACTCAGTGGCTACAGTGAGATGCCAGGCAAGCTGGGGAATGCCACAAGGGTCGATATAACCATTTTGAAGAATGATGATCCGCATGGTGTCATTCAGTTTCTACCTGATGAACTGTCAGTAACAATAAAGGAAAGTAAAGGAGAAAGCATCTATGCCGGTAATTCTCTTTTTGTTAAAGTTACTGCTTTATCTGCTCTCTGACTCTGCAAGGATGCTTTTCCCCATTTCACCCTTTTAGGTCAGTGTCCGACTCCACTCAGGAGTTTGCAGGGTCATACAGTGGCAGCAAGATGAGCAGTGGAGGCTGAAGGGGAGAAGGTTGGGCCTGGAAACCCAGAGGGATCAGTCCAGTAAAAGAATGGGTAGACAGGATGCCAGACAGGAGGGATGGAGTGTTGGTGTGTGTGCAGACTGCAGCCTGGAGGTACCAGCTCTTTGTGTAGGGTGCTGTGTGAGACCAGAGCTACTGCAGATCTTCACATGGGTGCCTTCAGTTTGTCTATCTCTGTTCAATTATCAAATACATTTACAGGCAAAAAAATAACAAATTTGAGCAAGTTTGAACTGCTTTAATGGCTTATCTTTGTGTGTCCTTTCATGCAGCATATTCACCTATTGTTAGTTTTGCAAAAGTGAATTTGCTTATTATTTCCTTTCCTTCTTCTTTGCTTCAGCTTTGCTGAGTTTTTTCTTTCTGACTTGTGTTGTTCTAAAAGTGTGCACTGACTTTGTATGTTTGTATTTTTTAGCTGCTTACAGAGTTGTAAGAGGTCAAGGAAACTATGGCAATGTTAGTGTGTCATGGTCTGTTGATCCAGCATGTACCAGTGACATCTATCCAGAAGAAGGGACTGTTTTCTTTGATCATCTGGAGTTTTCAAAAAATATCACCATTTACTCATTGCCAGATGAGGTAAATATTTTTGTGGTGTTTTTGTGTGAATATATGTGACAAAGAGTAAGTGCTAAAACATTAAAATTTGAGGAGAAAGAAGGAATGTCTGGTTTTTTAAAGTCTGATAAGTATTTGTAAGACAAATCAAAATACTTGGGTCAAACAGATTACTTCAACAAATCATAAAAGAATCTGAGAAGCTGTACATACCTATAAACAAAAAAGGTCAGAAGCTGACTGAAATGAAATGGGGCTAAATTATAGAAAAGTTCATTTGAATAAAAGTCTTTTTTTGAC